TTCCAAAAATTTCACCCCATTTTTTTCTCTTTTTTTTTTTGTATGAATTGCATAGGAAATAATAAAATTGCATGCTAGTTGATCGACAGTCCATGATACGGGGTAGAATTTTTCTCCAGCGTCGACCATGTTTTTAACCAGTCGATTCAGACGATTAGGGGTGGAACAGGCCCCGCCTCGGTGCCCCTGTAGGCCTGGTGTGTAAAGGTACCCTTCGTGTTAGGGGCGTCACCCTTCCGAATTCAGATGATCTAGATAATTTTTCTATAGTCCTACTCCTTTAACTCCCTTAGCTTCACTTTCAATAGTAATTCTTTTCCTTCTTCCTTCTTGTTGCATATTTTTTTAAAACGTAGATTTTACGAATTTTTCTATGAACCAACATTTAGTATTTCTCCCCCCACTTATTAAATCTTAGCTTTCCTACCTTCTGAAAGATCTACGAATTTTTCTATAGGTAATTCTAACAATTTTTCCGAATTTCATATTATCCAATTTCTGTCAATCCATCCCAAAGTTCATATCCTCTAAAAATGACTGCTTTGATCTCCAAAGACGCTCGCGTGTTTCATTATACCCCTTTCGACCCTGAGGCAACCGCCAGGAATAACCAAATTTCTTCGCCGTCGTTTTCAACGTCCCCGAGACGTTTTCAGTCAAAGTAGTCTCTGAGCTGAAAGGAAGATGATATTTTCGTAGGTGCGGTCGTTATCAGCGGCGATGGTTTCGCCCGGGTATGTGTAACGCTTCCGCGGCGAGACAAGACCCCTTGTAGGCAGTGGCGCAACAGAGGGCCGCAGACAAAGCATCGATAACCACGTCCTGCCTACCGTTAGTCCTCTTTGCAATTTGCCTGCTACCGTAGATTGCACCTGCACGGTCTATTACCGTGCAAGTTCGTCTGCGAGAGAGTAACCTAGCCTCCGAACCTTGCTTGCGAACCTCATCCTTCTCGCGATGCCGAGACAGGTGGTGAAGGGGTGCGAGAGGAGAGGAGGGGTGAGGGGTGGCGAAGAGGAGGAGGAGGAGGAGGAGGAGGTATCCCTATTATAAGTTGCGAACAAACTTTACTTATATGCTCGCGACTACCATCCGCATGCGCCCACTGCTGGCCCGCATCCCTTTCTCTCTTGGCCTCTTCGCCGGTCTGTCTCTGTCGCGACGTGTTATCCTTCTCTCCTGTCTTGCATCATCGTGCTCACCCTTGTTCACCCCTTGCGTTTTCCTTCCCCCCCTCCCAGTGCATCCTCTTGCTCGTTATTACATTACTTATTGTATTATTTATTAACTTAATTCTCGGGATTTCGAACATCTTCGCTCGGCAAGGGGGAGGTAGGTTTTTTAGACGGAGCGATTCTTCTTCGAGCAGATACAGCTTTCGATGTGAATCTGTTGCGATTGAAGAAAAACGAAGGATGAAAGTAAGTTACGGTTAATACACGATTTTGTGTCTCTCATGTAAAAGATTTTCGATATTATAGTAGTTATGAATATGGTTGGTCGAAGTTTGAAACAAATCTGTAAATGTGTAGAGAATTACTAAATATTTAATTACAATTATTTTAGATTATCACTGCTGTTTTATTAAATATACACTTGCGTTAAATACCTTGCAACTTCAAATTACAATAAAGTCACATCTCGTTACGATATTATTTTCAAAATATTTCGTACAACATACACATAATACCTACAAACGTGAAAGTTCTATCTGAATACTTTCTGAACACTCGCGAGCAATTGCACACGAGAGACTATACCTTTTATAGAATGGTGGTAGATCCAAAGGGGTTAATTCAAGAATTTTTTCGCTTTTTACAATCGCGAATCACTTACTCCGGAAATCCCTACGCAGTGTCCACCGAACCGGTGCGTTGGTCTGCACAGTCACAGAGAGGGTTGTGCACCACCGAAGAAAAAGAGAAATCGAGCTTGCGATCCGGTGTCGACCAATGGTCAGCCGAACAATTTCTCTTTTCTCTGGTGGCTCGTTATTAGCTCAGCGGTGTCGTGCCGCGACAATGAAGCGGAGTCTCTCTCTTTCTCTCTCTCTCTCTCTCTCTCTGGTGTGCGGTCAGTCGATCATTAATAAGCAATTATTCAACGGCTCATTAGATCGCGCGGACGCATAAGATTGCGACAAAAGGGCTGGAGCGGATGGAGGGAGAGGGACGCGCGTGCTGACCACGTTGGAACACGCGATGCACACGGGCAACTTGTGTGTGCCTTTCTATTAGAGGCAGCCATCGCCCCAAGGCATCGGCACCCCTCTGTCCAGTCCTTCTACCGAACTGCCACTGAACTAGTTCCTGGCCATTGGTCACTCCGACTGTGATTAATACCGAAGACTATTAATCCATCGAAACTGGCCGGCGATCGTTGAATCTTGCGAAATGCTACGCGAGCGCATCGAATTGTTGAGATCATGTATATTGGCCACTTTCCGTCGTACGAATGGTGAGGGTAAGACTAGGAAGTAATTCTCAATTACCGTTTGAATTGTTGCTTCTCGACTTTTGATTTTTTTTTATCGGTTGCGATGGCCGTGAAATGTTCGTTCGTTGTATTTATATTTATCGTTAGCTGACGTTTGCTGTAAAGTATTATAGTTACACACGGAACGTTCAGTGTTAAGACAATTTATCTAGTGATTGGCCATTAGGAATGTCTGTCTTTTTTATTCCATCCGAGCAACGATCTTCGATTTATCATTGAGAATATTTTAATTCCAGAATTGAAAAATCTTATAAATGAATCACGAAATTACATTAACACATTCGGAATGAGCGCACATGTTTCGTTAAGTAAATTTAGTAGTACAAATGCGCAGAAAGCAATTCGCGAAAATACAATATTTCAACAGGCAACGCAATTTTTTTCATCAAAGTTCTGTTTCATAAAACTGCAAGTTCGCATCCGCAGTTGGAAAATTAATTTTTTAATCAGTCATCGGCGAACGATCGTTAAACGATCGAAATTTCGATGAAAATTCATTCGGATATTTTGTCATCGCGAAATAATCCACGTCAGGTGTTCGGAGATCCTTGCGGCACTGACGTCGATTTTAACGCGAGAAGGACTTCTTATTCGTCCGCCGTTTCGCTCGAACTTGATGGAACTTAATTAAAGTTTCTTAATGAACGTCGCTGGTGCACCCGTCATTACCTTCCGGCGTATCGGCACACGAAACTCCACGGGGAACTCTCCATTATTTTCACAGACGTGACACGTACGTCGCGAGTCGTTGTTCCTTCTTCCTTTATTTTCTTTTTTTTCTTTTCTCTCTCTCTTTCGTTTTCTCCCTTCTGTCCTTTTCGTACGGTTTCGAAGGAAGGAACCGATGGGAAAAGGAGGTCTCTCGATCGGCCGGTTCGCGATAAATCCTTTTCGCTGCGAGACATTTGAATCAAAAAGTAAATTTCATTCGGGGGAGCGCGGGCTCTTTCATCGTACGCCGCATCTGCCGCTTCCTCTGGACATTGTCCTGTCCCAGAAATATTTGAAAACTGGTCGAACTAGACGTCCTACCCGAATAGGCGCCACGAAACCGAATCGTCGAAACTGGTCCCAACTGTCCGGCTGCAAATCCGGTCTCTCTTGTCCCCGGTAAAATCAATGGTCGATCCTTCACGCGAAGAAAAATTTGTATCGCGTTGGAAGACTATCGTTCGTTAGTAAAGAGATGTATCTTTAGGCAGATGGAACTTGGTTCATTGGGGCGGATAATGGTGATATAGGTAATGTTGCATTAACTGAACATTTATCGATCGAGTCTGTTTATTTGGACGGTTTCCCTATCTATTTCGAATATTTTTATTTTTAATTTCTCCTGTTTTTCAACTCACGTATATTTTATAGCATAATTGTTAATGTATTGTCACTTTCGAAATTCTTTGCTGCATAGAATATACATACCTAATGTAATTTCGCCAGTTTTGAAATAAATACAAGAGTTTTCAGTGTATGTTTGTTATCAATATGTATATCGTAATTATCAATATTAATTACTTATGATTATTATCTACATCATAAATATTAAAAATGTTAGAATATCACAGCGACAAATATCAATTCGTACTTTCTTTCGTTCACTATCACATTGGAACGAGAAATAGTAAGAATTGAAGAAAGTTATATGATTGTGTGATACGAATTATCTGTACCTTGACAAATTTGCCTAAACGTGGCTCTACTTCGTTCGCCAATGTTATCCAAAATCTTTCGGACGAAACCGCGGCAACGTAAATGAAATTCCAGAAATATTCTGAATTTTCTATTTTCGTCGACTGCCATATAATTTTGCCGCGAGGAATAAGATTAAAATCAAGATTGAAATTTCGAGACGGACTATTCCGAGGTGATAAGTTTTCAAGGAAACAGATACTCGAAATGGAAGCTTGGAATACATCTCGATATTTCGATACACTTTCACCTTTTTATTGCCCAAATAATAGTATAAACGAGTGAAGAATATTTATTGAAATAATCTAAATATGTGTGAATCATTATGTTACAGAACACTGCAGTTTCTGAGGATTCTAAACCGTGCTTGCAAGTATCGAAATTTTTGCCCGAAAATATATCATCGAGAAAGTGTGAACATTTTCCCACCGATTACGCGATGGATACGACAAGGCGTTGGGATTTTGGGTGGAAAGGGGGGGAAGAATCCCTTCTCTGGGTCAGAAGGGCCACAGATTGACCCAGAACAGGTTTACGTCTCGTCTCCTTCACTTCGATTTCCATTCTTTCTTTTTTTTTTTTTCTTTTCTTTCTTGTCCTGTCCGAGTCAGATTGACCTCCAGCCGATTGTCCATCTTTCTTGGCCCGCTATCCCAGCATGGAAACTGGTTTTCTTTCCCACATATCCAGGGGTCTGGCCGGTCACTTAGGGGGAAACAGGAAGAGTGGGGCACCAGAAACTGACCAGTTCCCGGATGCGTGCCCGTCCTTTGGTCAGTTTACGATTTTGACCCGTGATCGTCGGTGCTTCGTCCATTGGACTCGTTCAGCTTGATAACCAAACATGGATAAACTAAGGTAGTACAGTATTCAATTGCCAACTTTTTTGTTAATCTTCGTTCTTATCTCGAGCGGTCCTTCTTCGTTAGTTTTTTTTCTTCTTATTTTTACGAAATAAAGAGGGTGCAATTTTAGTATCTGTATTTTTTTAAAATATCGAGAAAAATTTCAAGACCGTGTAATTTTTAACTGATTACCTTCAGTTAGTTTCCCTTCTTGTTTCGATTTATCGACACATGCCCTTTTGATTAGACTTTATTTCTGTACAAAGTAAAAAATATCAACATTAAATATCCAAATTCTTTGTCATTTCGATTCAACTATCGACGTAGCCTCTCTAGAATTCTTATCTTTTCGAAGCAAAGGAAAAAACAAACAAAAAAAAAAAAAAAAAGAAAGACCTTTCTCAATGAAATTTATATTTCTCCCAAGGTGATCATTTTTTATTCAATTCTGTCTCTTCTCTCGCGTATTTATACCACTGGTTGGATCAAATTAGAACAAAACGAAGAGAGGTCAGGGAATTAACAAGTCTCTTCTTCGAGTTCGGTCCCTTCATCATCATTTCAAGTTTACATTCGTCGGACGTTTAACATTCGTTGAAGATGGCCTGAGATAGCAGTTGGCGACGCGATAAAAATAAACACGTAGCGCATAGCAAACGCTTGCTAGATGCCGCGCACCGGGGACGACGTTTTGCACCCAGCCTCCACCCGCTAGGCGGTTGCTTCGCCCCCATTTCGTTTCGCGCTACTCCGTAAGTACGTACTTTGTACTACCCTGTAGGATAGTCAGGTTTTCCAAGTTCTCTCCCCTTTCGAGGGAAGCCACTCGAGGGCGGAGTCCCGGAGTAAAGCGGCCATACTGCCACCCCCGTCTTACCGACCCTCTTCTACCCCCTCTGGCAAAATAAGGGATGAAAAACAGGATGAGGGCAATGGTGCTTCTAGAGCGCTCTCAAGCATGCCGCCTTGCTTGCGAAGCTTCATCGGGAATTCACCCTTCCATGCTGCCTTTATTGCTTTTCCTATGGTAGAAATTGCGCTTTGCGAAAATCTCTGAAACGGATGACTCGGTTTTCGAGACAAATTGCTCGCCTTGACTCGCTCCAGACCGTTCCCCGTCCCTTCCAATTATTCACCCTTCCCTTGTTTTCCCGTGCTTCCGAGCAGCTCGCGAGTCACCTTCCGCTTTCTTTCTTTCTTCACGTTCGTTCATTCACGTCTCTCGCGTGAATGCACCTTCGCAGCACTCGCACGAAACATTCCTGTGTCAGTGAAGACTCAATCGTACACCAAGCAGTTTCTATTTTTCCTCTTTTCGTTGATGCCGTTTTATTTATTGGATTGGCCGAAAAGTAATTACATGTTTTTATGTAGATGTATATTTTTAAAATGTCACTCATTGCAAATCATTTACTGTGCAATCTGATATCTATCGAGATTGTTTCAGAGAAAGAAAATGCACGATCTCGCGTTAAGAAGTGTTTGTTCGGCGTCAATTTTCGAACATTTTCGTCATATTTTTCTTGAGCTGTGCGAGCTCGTAAAAAATTACCTGACGTGTTATAGCGAAGAAGCCTTAAAACTGCGCCAGTGTCAGAATTGGTTTGCTAAATTTCTGAGAATATCAAGTTGTTCTTGGAATAGTCTTTTGTCGAAAAAGAAACAAGAACGTCTTTGAACGCGAAATTGTGAAAAACAGTCGAACAATATATTGTCCAATAAAGTTTTTTTCACGAAAAATTCGCCTCTACACACAAAAAAAAAAAAAAATACTTGGTCTAATATAATGTGATTATATGTGTGTATGATTTCTCACTCAAAAGTGTCGCAAGTGAATTTAGAAAATTAATGATTTTGCATCGGCGAGAGGAAGAAGGGATCTTTTCTTTCTTCACTGATATTTTCGCAAATAAGTTGGAGATACGTAAATACGCGTATAGCACATAAAACGATAAATCTCAGTCCACGTAACTTTCAACAAAACCTGTTTCCCCGATTCTCGAACGTCTGCATCCACCGCTCTCGCCTTCTCAATTCCCACCCTTCTCCTCGAAACACGCAAAACTTCCGAACGTAATCGCGACGCGTTCGCCAATCCTGAAACCTATCACCGATCGTTTCACCTCGTCGGATAATAACGATAATAACACAGGGGAGGCGAATGCCATTATCGATAACGGGTGAATTACTATTGCGGTGGCTGGTTGACAGAAGTAGAAACGGTCGTCTAGGAACGAGTAGAGAGACCTGGGAGGCATCGCGCGTTAAGGAAACGGAAGGAGACGGGTTTTCAAGCTACCGAGAGCCTCTCGCTCGGATGGTGCCCTCGGTGAGAGTCACGGACTGAAGCGTTTGCAGTCGCGCGTAACCCGTCGCGCTACAAAGTCGTAGCTCGCGGCCCTTTCATTTGTAAACGAAATTACAGAATAAGGCTTGGGCTAGGAGGTGCTGCAGGGCTGAAGAAAGAGAGGGAATAGAGAGCTGGCGTCAGCATCGAGCTCTGGCGACGGTTATGCGACGAGCAGTTGCCGTGGCACGGCGAACGGGGTGGGTGGGAGGGGGAGGAGGTGGGGGTCTGCCTAGAAAAGCGGAGGAAGGGCGGACAGAAGGCTGGGGGAGGGAGGGGGAGGGTGGATTTTACTACGGAGCAAACGGCTCAAAGGAAATTAAGGAGCATTCACTCTGCGAGAAGCTCCTACGGAGAAATATCTTCTCTGTGAAGAGAGGCGCGACTAGAGAGGGCGAGAAAGAGACAGACAGACAGAGAGAGAGAAAGAGAGAGAGAGAGAGAGAATGAGAGTGAGAGGGAGGGAAGAAGGGGGAGGAAACAGAGAGAGCGTGCACAAGAGCTGAAAGCTACGAACTGGTTTGGAATACGAGAGAATCCGGTCTGAATCTTTCTCACTGCAAAGGACAAGACTTCCCTTTCTGTCTTTGCCGATGCAAAACGCGGCAACGGAGGCGTACCGTTTCAATGAATACCGAATATCGTCGCGACCCGATCCTCAATAGAGTCTCTTGATTATCCTCGAGCGCGCGCGCGAGACTCCCCGCGGGGTGAAGCGCAACGAAGATACTCGAGGAACGCGTATACTCGAGAAAGAAAAGAGAGTAAAGAAGCGAAAGGAGCTTCGTTAATTGTTAACAACATGGACCTCGCGTCCTGATTCTCGGTGGTGCCCTCGATGATCTTCGAATTCACGGAAGACTATTGAATAATGGAAAAACGAAGACACATATATCAGAAATAGTGTATAGCTTTGGTCCTTGACGATTTTTAAAGTAGCAGAAGTTTCCTTATCCCGACGGAGGAAAAAATTACTATTATCAATTTTACGAATTTCTCATGATCTCGGCTACGAACGCTGAAATGCCCGATGATAGTAATAGCGTCGTCGCTTAATGTCAAATCCAAAACGTCAAATATTCCTCGAATCTCAAAGACAACTTTCCATGAAAGTATGTCTGACATTCGCAAAAATTAAAATTATCGTCCATCGATCGATTGATAATCGAGAATCTAGTAACAAAGACCGAGGTTTCGCGTGTGACAGTTTTTATCGTCACTTGGTCGTTTTATCGGCAGGGAGGTTTCGTTTTTGGAAGACAGATCGTTTGGTACTTTGTGGCAACTAGGAAAACCTCGGCAATGCGAGACACCCCGCACGTTCGGCACGGTATTTTAATTCGCTGGGAATGTTGGCCGACCGCCAAACGTCCGCAGAGATTTCTTAATACCCGCCGCAAATGCCTGGCGTCTGTGCCTGCGTCGTTCAGGAATTGGGGGTGGTCCCTGTCGTGCACTGGATCGAAAGAGGGTGCAACGAGCAAACGATACCATAAACGTTCGTCGGTCTCCATTTCTTCTTAAGCGCCATCGTTTTATCCCCTTCTTCTCAATTTCAATCTACAATCGACCAAGAAAGAAACCAAACGGGAATTTTCATTTTATTTCTGTCAATTCTAATCAATTCAGTCACACACACATGGAACGATAGAATTTTTTTTTTTTCTTTTAACTTTTCTGTCAAAAATCGATCACTATTGAAGACTCGACGAAATCAAATCAATTTATTAGCCGAAATTATTATCTGATTTTAAAATTGAATTCATTGGGAAACATAATAAATAGTATTAGTTAAATTGAGCTAACTTTCATTCTCAAGAGGCCTATATTTTTGTTCCCTTTGCTTCTTTTAAGAACAATTAATGTTGTAACAGTCGTGTTGTTCAAAGTGAGAAAATGTTCGGTGACTTATGGTCAGGAATGTATCTAGAGGTTTCGGAAACATAATCGTAAGTACCTTTCACAAGCAGTAAATTTAATTTATCGATACAATGGCAGAAACATTCGAAAGTATAAAACGGAGATTCCTCGAATCAAAAGACACGCATATATTATGGTCCGTAATCACTTGCGCTGGCAGCTGATTGCGGACCATAACGAGTGACCAAACCGTATACAATAATTTGTCGCTTTCTTTTTGAACTCGCCGGTATGATATCGTTGGATAGAAATTATTGAAAAGTAATACACTTATTATTTATTACTTCTCAATAATTTTGCCTGGGTTATACTTCAGTATATTTAAAGCTGAGAAAATATTGCAATCTTGGGATAAAAAATTCTTGGCACGTCATTCCAGCGCAAGAGGTTGAGGATTGACGTGCATGAAGAACACGGATTTCCAGTTTTCCTCGACACACGGTTTCACGTCGATATTTCGAAACGCTCGTTGAAAACAGCGATCTCCTGGCAAACAGATTCGATCCAGACGATTCGAAGTATCGCGTCGTCTCCTTCCCTTTCGAGACGCGGCTCCCTTATATTCTGTGAAAACAGCCCTCTCCTCGGTCCTCACCTCCCGCGCGCTCTGTCTTCGTCCTCTTTCTACTTAGCGGTCCGCGCGGTCTCGCTCTTTCACCCTCTTGGCCCCTTGTCTCATTCTCTCTCCGACTTTCTGTCGTCGACGGCTTTTGTCTCGGCGGTGCGCATTGATTTCTGGGGCCAAC